ATAATAGCAAAGTTAATAAGAATTATTTCTAAATGAAGCACTGTTCTTATTTCGCTCTGCATAACCTGAACGAAAAAAATATATTTTTTGCTAAGAACAAACCGAAATAAAAACATTTCGCTTTTAATCTGTGTATTTAACAGCCTGGGAGACCTTCCCAGGGCAGTACCTTGCCTCACCGACTAAAATCAGGGCGCCCACTACGGAGACGGCACCAGAGGTGAGGGGGCACAGTGACCGAGGTGGCCGGGCCGGGCCCCCTCAGGCCCCCCCGTGGCGCCGACGCTGGGGACGCCATTGTCTTTTTTGGCATCTTGAAACCACTTAGCTCACACACAGTCCCTCCCACACCCTCTTTACAGTCAATTTGAGGTGAGACCCTTGTTGGCTCCACATATGTGCCGCTCAACTCATGAAATTTGAATACAACTATTAGAGATTCTCCAGTGTAACAGAGAGTCCCTCATTAGTATGAAAATATATGCAAATGTAATCATACATTTTACCAGGTTTGATTCACACGTCTTCTCAACTGCGACCTTAGTTATTAGAAAACAATGATAACAATCACTGTCAGTGGGTTGTCAGATATCTGAAAGGATGTCACAGGATCAGGGCAGGAGATCCACACGGTTAATGAAGGAGGTAATTCAACACCCACCGCGTTCATGAAAACAAATATTTCATACCTGCCAGTAAGAAGAGCAACCTCCGTAAAGAGGGGGAGTGGCTTATGCTAACCTCGGTGTGAGTTTTAGACATATTAACTAGGCAGATTCACCTCCATCTTCACTGCAGCCCAACATGTTTGCTTTTATTTTCCCCCAGAGTTAATCAATGATAACGGGCAAGTGTCCTCTGACAATAGCTGTAGTACAGTGTGCAAACGGGAGCTGCTTTCTTTACTGTCAGCACCGCTGGGCAGCACAGGTCGATAGAGCTGCCTGCCGTGTTGTGGAAGGTGAACCGGACGCTTCTGAGGGCAGCGGCTTGATGTGACGAATCAATAAAAACTGCTAGCTTTCCTCCCTTTCTGTCTGTGTCTCTGTATCTCTCTCGCTCTCGCTCTTGTTCTCCGTCTCTCTATTTCTTTCCCTTCTAATTCACACCAAACATGCTTCCAGACAAAACACAGAATTGGTAACATGGCAGCTACCTTCATAAAGGATGTGTTCTTGCGTCCCGCGTGAATTGCCATTCCATTGTGCTCGGTCTAGCGCAACAGAATGGCCACTCTGCAAATTTCACGGGTCTCAAGAGCCATTTTTCAAAGATAAACTACCTTTACCAGCACATAGCATGGTAAAAATGTTGCACTCATGCTGTAAGATATGTTTACATAGACAAGCGATTAAAAAATGAGTCAAAGTGAATGATTCAGATGCAACTCTGAACGTCGACTTCAACACTTGACTTAAGAGAATTGACTCAATTGATTCCAGTAAAGTCACATTCTGGTGAAATTTTGTAGAGCAATAAAGGTCCATGTCTGTTGTCGATGAATGATCACACAAGTCACAACCCAACTTTCTTTTGGTCAACACAGCAAATTTGTGTGACCAACTTAAGCCATTGCGAAATCTGCATGAGGAAATCTTTCGCCCTCACGCAAAATTCCAGAGTGCTTGGATACCTGTTGGAATTGATCCTTCGCAAAGACCCGCCCCCCTTAGTTACTGTTGCTACGTCTGACAAGCCATGGCACTCTCTCGCCACACATCATGTTCTCAAACAGTGAAAAATACATTGTGGAGCAAAGAGGACACTGACAACGCGATGACAGACAAGACAGAGCAGGTTACTTTTGGTATGAAACAAAGTTTTGTCATTTTTTAAGAAATTCAAACAATAAATACCATTTTGTGGCTCTTTAATGTGTGGTGACAGATCGCTGTAGAGCCTCAGTTCAAGCGGCACATGAACCGATCGTCTTTTCGTATTTACTTAAAGCACGAAAAAAACAAGAATGAACATCAGAACGTATTTTAGATCGCTGTAGCGCCTCAGTTCAAGCGGCACATGAACCGATCATCTCTTCCTCCGTTCTAGTTATAGCACGAAATAAACACGAATGAACATCAGAAGGTATGTTGTTTCAACCACGGAAAGACATCAATACACACTATTTTTCAAGTTCAAGTCCACCGATGTTAATCTACTCTCCTGTCTGGTTTGTTTGTAGCACAAAATGGCAGATTCTGTGTTATGATTGGTCAGATCGCCTGTCAATCAAACTCCCAGCGAAGGGTGAATTCCCCTGTGGAAACTTTCAGAGATTGTTGACGCATGACACTCTAAGCATAAAAAAAAAAATACAAAGCGCATACAAATGCTCTGAAAGATATATATTTTGAAACTATAATGAACTGTTTCATCAGTACCTCTAAGTATTGAATGAAATGCGAGTATATTTATAGTCAATATTTCTCATATCCTCCACCTTGGATCCAAATTCTGAGATTGTCTTCTTCATGAGGGATGCATTCATTGTTTCCCTTTGATTTCGACCAAAAAGACGTATCTTAAAATGCAGAATACCATTGCTGCCTACCTTTTGGGATATTTAAAATGCAGTCTGTTTTGGAACAGAGCTGAAACAGGTAATGATGTGTTTCCCTGCAGACTTCATAGCTGAACCTGGCTTTCCTTATCTTCCACCCACGTCACTCAGACGCTCATCCTCTCCCTCTTCAGAGCCGCATAAGCAAAGATCCTTCATCAGCCTCGCGATCAGGCGCCCGGCTGTTCCCCCCACTCCCTGCCCAATCTGAGAGGGACACGCTTCTCGGCGTAATCCCGTTATCTCCTCCCGCTAGACGCGGAGCAGAGGTGGCGTCTCTGATCATCGGGTTGTTAAGAGACAGCTGAATGACGGAATGTCTCGGTGTGAAGAACCCTTTTGCGTCCGTTTTAATTACAGTCGTTTGATAATAACACCCATGGTACATTAAGTCAAGCATTAAGTAATACACTTTCTCTCCATTTAATCCTCTCTAATTAGCCTCTGAAAGCAAACCGAACGCAGCAGTGGTACTGAGGGTCCTTTCATCTCGGTCCATCAGCAGAATTCTCTAAGCAGCTTTTGAGGAATGCTGTTTTCTTCTTTCGTTTTACCCTTTCCAGGCCTCGCCGCCACCACCCCGTGACTTATTACTCTTCACACGACTCTTAATATGTGCCTCTTCTCTCTCTGTTCCGCTATTGGTTTTCACCCCTGCCTCCTTCGCTCGTGTGTCTCTGTCTGCTTATTTCCCTTTCCTGTCGCCAATGCAATTGTCATTTTTCATATCTCTCCTACTCTCTCTCTCTGTGTGGCCTCTCAGGGCCGCTGGCTCAGGTGGAGGCTCTGAAAGAAGAGAATGACAGTCTGCGGTGTCAGCTGGACGCCTACAGGAATGAGGTGGAGCTTTTGAAGCAGGAGCAGGGTAAAGCGCAGCCCCAGCGCAGCGAGGAGGACGCCACCCGCCAGCAGCAGCTCAGCTTCCTGCAGCAGGCTCTGCAGGGCATGCAGAAGGTGCGCACACACAGTCAACACACTGTACAGCAGAAAATCATTTTCTTACGCAGTGCTTTTTGTTTCGTTTTTCAGTAAAACGGTCTAAAAATCCTTAAAATAAGGTAAATTAATTTGATATTATAAACAATTAATTTCTTTCTTTCTTTCTTTTTTTCTTAAAAAATAATTGACCTTTTAATTAAAATATAACTCAATATAACTCAGACTTCTGTCTGGCTGGTGCAATCTTACAGTCGATTGCATTTTTGGATTAAAATGCAATAAGCACAGTAATATTGTGAAATATTATTACAACTTAAAAGAACTGTTTTCTATTTTAATACATTTTCGATTTTAAAACATGATCCTTCAGAAATCATTCTAATATGCTGATTTGGTCTTAATTTATTATTGGTGCTAAATTATTCATAATGGATCTTATTATTATCAATATTTTGATGCTTCATATTTTTGTGGAAACTGATACATTTGTTTCAGGATTTTTTGATGAGTAGAAAGTTCAAAAGAACAGCATTTATTGGAAATATAAATCTTTTGAAACATTATAAATGTCTTTGCTGTCACTTTCGATTCATTTAATGTGTCCTTGCTGAATAAAAGTATTAATTTATTTTTGCTTTAAAAAAAATCTTACCCCAAACTTTTGAACGGTGGTGTGTCGCGGTTTGCACAAAAAATATGAACTGTTTTCAACTTTAATAATAATAAGCAGTGTTTCCTGGCAAGCAAATCAGCATGTTAGAATAATTTTTGAAGGATCATGTGACACTTTGAGCCTTTATATATAATGCATTATGAAAGTGGTTTAATGCATTAATTGACCGTTCGCAAAGAGCTTGATTGACAGGCGATCTGACCAATCAGAACGCGGAATGAGGTGGAGCTTTTGAAGCAGGAGCAGGGTAAAGCGCAGCCCCAGCGCAGCGAGGAGGACGCCACCCGCCAGCAGCAGCTCAGCTTCCTGCAGCAGGCTCTGCAGGGCATGCAGAAGGTGCGCACACACAGTCAACACACTGTACAGCAGAAAATCATTTTCTTACGCAGTGCTTTTTGTTTCGTTTTTCAGTAAAACGGTCTAAAAATCCTTAAAATAAGGTAAATTAATTTGATATTATAAACAATTAATTTCTTTCTTTCTTTCTTTTTTTCTTAAAAAATAATTGACCTTTTAATTAAAATATAACTCAATATAACTCAGACTTCTGTCTGGCTGGTGCAATCTTACAGTCGATTGCATTTTTGGATTAAAATGCAATAAGCACAGTAATATTGTGAAATATTATTACAACTTAAAAGAACTGTTTTCTATTTTAATACATTTTCGATTTTAAAACATGATCCTTCAGAAATCATTCTAATATGCTGATTTGGTCTTAATTTATTATTGGTGCTAAATTATTCATAATGGATCTTATTATTATCAATATTTTGATGCTTCATATTTTTGTGGAAACTGATACATTTGTTTCAGGATTTTTTGATGAGTAGAAAGTTCAAAAGAACAGCATTTATTGGAAATATAAATCTTTTGAAACATTATAAATGTCTTTGCTGTCACTTTCGATTCATTTAATGTGTCCTTGCTGAATAAAAGTATTAATTTATTTTTGCTTTAAAAAAAATCTTACCCCAAACTTTTGAACGGTGGTGTGTCGCGGTTTGCACAAAAAATATGAACTGTTTTCAACTTTAATAATAATAAGCAATGTTTCCTGGCAAGCAAATCAGCATGTTAGAATAATTTTTGAAGGATCATGTGAACTTAAAGCCTTTACATATAATGTGTTATACAAGTAATTTTAATGCTTTAATTCTCTCTCGTAATGCACCTTATAATGCACTGTATGATCTCATGAATAAGTGTAACCAAGGTTGTAATATATTATAGAAAGTATAATGCATTAAAATACATGACAAACAAACCTTCCAATATTATAATGAATTTTAACTTTGGATACAATTATTTATGAATGCATTATACATAAAGGCTTCAATAACGTGTTACAGAGACTTCTTTTAAAAACAACAAAAAAAATCGTAATTATTCTAGTTTTGACTGCTAATGTACTTTTTTTTTTCTCACCTCAATGACACATAGTATTTTTTTGTTTTTTTTGTTTTTTTGTCTTTTAAGCCTCAATTTAGGTTGTTTAGATATTTTCACTGGCTAAAATACTGAAAAATAAAATATTTTTTGCGGTGTTGAACTCCATGCTGAGCTGCTGGAGGTTTTTGAAGTCATGGGCGGATGCTTGTCGGTGGTTTGGCACAAAAAAGATCTGTGCCGGTAGCCAATAAGTTGTCGTTTTAAAACCAGCATGGGGTGATCCATGAGCCGTCGCTCATCTGTGTGTTTACAGTCTCACACACCTACTGTTTCCTCACTTTGGTGAATTCGGTGTTGTTATGCGTGAGCAGTTTAACCGCAGGGAGTCCTGAGCCCAAACACCTCATTTCTGCAGATCATCCAGGTCATCAATCACACACACACACACACAATAATAAACACGAGATGTTGAACATGTGGAATGGAAATTTCATCTGCCCACATGGGCACAAACGGTAGACGTCTCCCACCCATAAAGCACTTTCATCTCTTTTATCAAACGTTATTTTATCTTCTCTTGAGGACTGGCGCTATTTTTAGAACAGTCTTCCGCTATCGTCCTCCATTGTTCTTCACCGCTCAGAGTGACCTAGAGATCTGAGGGTAATTTTCAGCTAGATTTGTTTTCCCAAACCGTGCAGTCACACAATACAAATTCACATGGACAGGGTCAAATCTGTCCCATGTTCTGTCTATTTTTGTATCTCTACTGTATCTATCAATAGAATACGGAGAATCCTGGTCACCCTCATCGTCGTCCTGTAAGCGCAGCACATGCAGATGTTCCACACGGCTTTGACCTTGTCATGTGAGCGTTATTAGGCCATGAAGGAGCTTCTGAGAGGGGCGTTTGTCTCACTTTGAAGGTGCGCACCTGCCGCTAATGAGCCCTGATGGGATTCTGCGTATTGAACTATTCTCTGGCATGAGATGAACTCGCTGCACGGGTCACATCTGAGGCGTATGCTGAGCGATTTGCTCGAGTTAGAAACGGGAGTGTTCACTGATCTCTGGCGAGCGCGTGAAGACGGCATATTATTCTGTCACATGAAGTGAACAGCGCAGGCCATTTCTCCGAGTCGAATCACTCTCAAATGGCATGCGAGGCTGCGGAGACGTTCTCGCTCCTGCACTCATAGCATGTTAAACTCAACCCTCGGTCTGATTTATTCATGAGGAACAGGCCATGAAGGCAAACAAAAAGGTTACATCACCACAGTTTATGTAGCTCAGATCGCTCCTGGCTTCTGAATGCTGAGCAGGATCGGTAATGAGAAATCAGAGCAGTCTTCAGCACCTCATGGCTTCTGATTTATTAGGCTTGTCAACAAATTAGCATGCTTGGAAACAGTGTTTGGGGAAATGTGGTATGAGAAATGTGTTACATAACGTGTTACCTGAGTAAATTGCGTTACTTCTGTTTATTTTTATTTTTTTTTAAAAAGAAATCATTACACTCAATTACATTACTTTTTTTTACATAAACTACTGCTCAAAGGAAGTCTCTTCTGCTCACCAAGGCTACAATTATTTGGTTAAAAATACAGTAAAAACAGTAATATTGTGAAGTTTTATTACAATTTAAAATACCTGTTTTTAATTCTAATATATATATATGTTTAATTTATTCCTGTGATCAAAGCTGAATTTTCAGCATCATTTCTCCAGTCTTCAGTGTCACATGATCTTCAGAAATCATTCTAATATGCTGATTTGCTGCTCAAAACACGTTTCTTATTGTCAGTGTTGAAAACATTGGTGTTTAATATTACAGTAGTTACTATAGTAATACTATAGAAAGTTCAAAATAAAAGCATTTATTTGAAATAGAAATCTATTACTTTACCATCTCTTTTTGTTCAATTCGTGCGCTTGTGCGTGCCTCACAATAATGCCTTACAAAGCTACATAACAGCTACAAGTGTATGCACTACTTGCTTTATGCAAGCACTATATAGGATACATCACTATACAGGATTACCCTATTATACTTTATCGACACGAATTGATAGATGAAACAACAAACAGCCACCCACAAATAGTCTATAAACAAAGCATCAGGCTGTCTTTGAGTTCACATGAACAACGGTTAAAATTACTCGTCGTCAGGCTACAGAAGAATACCATAATTCCTCCGTTCAATTAGGCCTAAGACATCGAGAGTCACGCAGACCTATAACAACCCAGCCACAACACTTAATTGCGAATAACATGCCTTACCTTAACACAGAATCGACCACAGAGTCCAACGTTTATATTTTTTATAACATGAGTTAACATGTACTAAACATGAGTGGAATTTGCACCGCAGCGCCCCCACACCTTGATGCTCATGACAAGAATAGCATGTATAGTTATCTTTATTGAAGTGAATTAGGTTTAAATCGCCGTCATGCATGAATGAATTATATTTTTGCTATTTTACACATAATAATCCACAATGATCACATTACACAAAACTAAAATTGCACGTCAAAATAACACATTGTCAATATTTTTTGAGACCCCCCAAAATTTCACAAATCACGTTTTCAGGGGAGCCCATGTCTTATTAAGGGGAGCCGAGCTCCCCCTAGCTCCCCCGTAGTTCGCACCCTGGCTGAAGGGACAGCAGAAACAAAGCCACTGGAAGGCAAGCCTGCTACCTTTCAAGCAGGGATAGCTGCAGGCGGGAGCAGTGGGCGTGGCGAAAGGTAGGAGGCGTGGATAAAGTTTTTTCTAGGTTAGGGCATTACGTCCACCTGCAGCTACCCCTGTCTCCAACCTTTAGCCAAATAAAGCGTAACGGCTAACGCTAACACTGCGGCTTTGGCGGTAAGCAGGGAAGGAGACCAGAGGCCTTTTTTAATGGATGTCAGTGGCGGAGAGGCTTCACTACACTGAATAAACAGCTTTTGTGAGCAAATAGCTTTTCATTTAATGAATCGACAACCTGTTCGCTAATCTTCAACATGTTTTACACTAAACAGTACTTTCGTTGGGAACTACATGTAGATTTTACTTTGATAAAAATGTTTTGTTTTTTTTAGAGAAGGCAGAGTAGGGAATGTCGCAACAGGTAGGACTCATTTACAGCATTATTACCAGCAAATATTTGTCGGATTACTATTTAATAAAATATATTGTGTATTGTCTAAAAATATTGTTTTCTTTCTTTCCTTTTTTTTTTTTTTAGGTTTTACCTTAAATTGGGCTTGAATTGTAATGACTATTATGTGACCATATGCCTTATGTTGATATAATACATTTTATTGAACAAAGGAAAGGACATGAATAAATAGACTTGAAATGTAATGACTTGTGACTGCTACATATGATGATGATATGACGCTTTTTAATGAATAAAGGTAAAAAAAATATTTTAAGAAATAACAAGGTGGCGTCCAGATTTTAACAAATAAATTAAATTTATTATTAAAAAATATATATTTTTAAATCAACAGAATAAAACCTAATCTTAAATTGCAGTGACCAGCAAGTCGTGCTCTTTTTTTACTGTGCGACGTAAACATTGACTGACTGTCGTAGAACTGTGAAATCCTGCCACTGACGTCACTGCCATTGTATGATTGGCTGAGGTGCGTCACTTGATCCAAGTTAGCCGTTAGGCTTTTTCCAATAGTAAGTAATACAGACCCTCTCATCTCCCAATAATAAGACAATCTCTGGCAGAAATGCAGCCAGTAACCCCATAAACAAAGCAGCTGCGCTACTTTCTGCTTCTGAAGAGGATTTAAATGTTTTAAACAGCCATTCAGATTTTTGTGTCCACAATGGTCCTAACACTTAAAGACTTAATAGGCTATTTATTTTCAAACTTAACAGTTGTACATTTTAATCTGGAGTACAACATCCCGTTTCTGAATGTCTCTGGCACGGTAGCTCTGGAGGTCGGGGAACAGCTGTCATATCAGGTGCATACTGTTGAAATGTCTTTATGAGCTAGAGGTAATCAAATGAAGCCATATTCAACACAGACATAACACCTGAGATTGAATTATCTGATAGCAAGACGTCTCAAACCCTAGTGAGCAGTCCAATGGCATATTTGGGTATCGAAGGCTTGCTTAAAGACTTAATAGGCTATTTATTTTCAAGCTTAAACAGTTGTACATTTTAATCTGGAGTACAACATCCCGTTTCTGAATGTCTCTGGCACGGTAGCTCTGGAGGTCGGGGAACAGCTGTCATATCAGGTGCATACTGTTGAAATGTCTTTATGAGCTAGAGGTAATCAAATGAAGCCATATTCAACACAGACATAACACCTGAGATTGAATTATCTGATAGCAAGACGTCTCAAACCCTAGTGAGCAGTCCAATGGCATATTTGGGTATCGAAGGCTTGTCTAGGTCAAGGACGTCTACATAATACCTGCCACTATCTATCCATTAGCATTCCCGTTCATCTCAATAGCAGTTACTCAGTTGGCACAGGACGTACTTGCAATCACATTAATCCAGATAAATTAAAAAAAACATATTTTTCTATGTTGTGGCCTTTCATCCACACTGAGATGGCTTTTAAAGACACAGTGGAAGTGGAGACAGTGAAAACAGTTTTCGTGTGGCGATGACTGTGAGAACAGAGGTTCATGAATACAATGACATGTTTAGTCATACGGATTGTATCAATAGATATCAATGGTTGTATCGGTGTAGTTGTGCCTGCTATTTACTTAAAACAATTGCTAAAGATAAATGTTACTTTGTATTATATTCCTGCAAAGATGATAGGATATTTACTCACAAATGCTGCCCTGCCATTTTCAAATATTAAGATAGATGTCGCCTAACTTTGCAACAAACCCAGAAATTGCTAGTGAATTTCACAATTACAAAGAAACAGCAAGTAATTTGGAGTAAAATTACCTTTTCTTGTATTTTCTTGTAAAACATACTCCAGTAAGTTTTATTTATATCTGCAAAAATATTTTTTACAGTGTATATGATGTACATGAGCCAGTGGAATTGCATCTGTCTTCTTTACTTCTTCCTTTTTTTTTTTTTTTCAATCACCCATGTCTCTTACAATCAACAGTAATCACCCGATCATTCAATTAAAATCATGTGAAATGGCAGTTCCACATGAATTCACTGGCCAACTGGCAAGTAACTCTGTTTTATTTACCCACCAAAGCCCATGTTAAATCTCATTTGGCACTTAATGAGTGTTAATTTTGGATCCTGCTTGCACCTAGCTGTGTATCAAAGGCAGCAGACCTTGAAAATACATTTCACGCTTTTAAGAGCCCTGTAAAAAAAAAAAGACAACAAAAAAAATTGGGCACTGCTTGCAATACAGTATGTTTGCTTGCAAAAAAAGTAACTACTTTTGCATGGCCATCCATGCTTTTTGGGTCTAGTCCATTCTAACCAGCCATATCTTGACCTATTGGAACAGGTAGACATCTCACTAGGTTTGGAGCAAAAGCCATTGATGTTCAGACATCCTAACACACAGTTTAATGAAGCAGCCCAAACTGGCATCAAAGCGATGGTGCACAGCGTGTTCACTTTAAATACAGATGAACTGATCTGCGTGCAGCATCAGGCCTTTTGAGCTTCTTATAACACTCGTCTCTCCTTATGTGTTTTTAATGTCGTCGATTTTCTTTTGTGCCGTTTCTCTAGCAACTGCTCAAGCTTCGCGAGGATCTGAAACAGAGAGAGACGGAGCTGGAGAAGAACTCGGAGGAAAAACAACAGCTCGAAAGCCAGATCCAGAGTCTGAAAGATCGGATTCAAGCTTTCCCCACATCACACGCTCTGCCCGTGAGTTACAGACGGCTCTCTGTCTGGGGCTCCCGTCTGTGCTTGTGTTGCGTCTTTGTTCTTTTAACTCTGTCTGGATTTGCTGTGTTTTGTCTGATGAGGAGGACGAGATGAGATGAGACGGCTGTCAGTTTGAGGACGGCGTGAATTAATGAGTCTGTCCTACTGAACGCTCTCCAGGGATTCAGATCAGAACGGGAATATCTGATTCCCTGCGCTCTAATTAAAGGAACATGAGCTCAGGATGAGTCTCGGTGTTCGAAACTGAGAAAACAGTGTGAAATTTTTGCATTAAACCTGTAAAAAAAAAAAGACAACAAAAAAAATTGGGCACTGCTTGCAATACAGTATGTTTGCTTGCAAAAAAAGTAACTACTTTTGCATGGCCATCCATGCTTTTTGGGTCTAGTCCATTCTAACCAGCCATATCTTGACCTATTGGAACAGGTAGACATCTCACTAGGTTTGGAGCAAAAGCCATTGATGTTCAGACATTCTAACACTCAGTTTAATGAAGCAGCCCAAACTGGCATCAAAGCGATGGTGCACAGCGTGTTCACTTTAAATACAGATGAACTGATCTGCGTGCAGCGTCAGGCCTTTTGAGCTTCTTATAACGCTCGTCTCTCCTTATGTGTTTTTAATGTCGTCGATTTTCTTTTGTGCCGTTTCTCTAGCAACTGCTCAAGCTTCGCGAGGATCTGAAACAGAGAGAGACGGAGCTGGAGAAGAACTCGGAGGAAAAACAACAGCTCGAAAGCCAGATGCAGAGTCTGAAAGATCGGATTCAAGCTTTCCCCACATCACACGCTCTGCCCGTGAGTTACAGACGGCTCTCTGTCTGGGGCTCCCGTCTGTGCTTGTGTTGCGTCTTTGTTCTTTTAACTCTGTCTGGATTTGCTGTGTTTTGTCTGATGAGGAGGACGAGATGAGATGAGACGGCTGTCAGTTTGAGGACGGCGTGAATTAATGAGTCTGTCCTACTGAACGCTCTCCAGGGATTCAGATCAGAACGGGAATATCTGATTCCCTGCGCTCTAATTAAAGGAACATGAGCTCAGGATGAGTCTCGGTGTTCGAAACTGAGAAAACAGTGTGAAATTTTTGCATTAAACTCCCCTGTTTACAAGCACGCAGACATTTGAATGCTTTCATATTAATGCGTAAACATAACAGGCATCATTTCAGAGATGAGATGGCAATGATCCAGTGGGGATGTTTGGAAAATAATGCAGGTACTGTGTTTAAAACAGTGGTTCTCGACCTTTTGGATTTGAAGTCTGTCTATCTATCTGTCCTGATATGAAAATAGCCGTTGATGCTGACATGGCAATGAAAATAAATAACTTGGTACTGTTTAAATCAGGGATAGATAGATAGATAGATAGATTTTTTTTTTTTAGCATTATGTTAATATAACTACAATTAAATTGTTCTAATATTATCAAATTTTCTAAAATTTTAAATGTTATAATTTTATTTTTTTTTAAATCTGGTTATTATTAAAACCAACCAACTTATTATTAAAACCATTGGTTTAGAATATATATTAGAACGATTTAATTTTATTTCTATTAACATAGTTTAAAAAAAAACTCTAAAAATTATGTTAATATAACTAAAATTAAATCGTTATAATATAATTTTAAAAAAAATACAATGTTATTGTATTTTTACAAAATTAAATGTTATAATTTTATTGTAAAAAATTTAATAATCATTTTAAATATTTTTAAACCCATCCAATTAAAACCACTGGTTTAGAATATAAAGTATATTAGAACGATTTAATTGTATTTATATTAACATAATAAAAAAACTCAAAAAATTGTTAATATAACTAAAATTAAATTGTTCTATTATTATCAAAATTTTAAATGCAAAATTCTACAATTTTAAATGTTATAATTTAATTTTTTTTTTTAAACTGGCTATTATTAAAACCAACCAACTTATTATTAAAACCATTGGTTTAGAATATATATTAGAACGATTTAATTTGATTTATATTAACATAATTTTTTTTTAAAAACTCTAAAAATTATGTTAATATAACTCAAATTAAATAATTCTAATATTATAAAAAAATGTAAAATTCTACTATTTTAAATGTTATAATTTTATTTTTAAAAATTAAATAATCATTTTAAATATTTTTAAACTCATCCAATTAAAACCACTGGTTTAGAATATAAAGTATATTAGAACGATTTAATTGTAGAAGAAATGAAAATCAATTTTAACACAGCCATTCCTCCTATAGATCTGTGCCCATCGCTTGCGATTGTTTTCTGCTGGATGAATGTGTTGTGTGTGTCATACATCAGTCTGTACGTGTGCGTCTCAGTGTTTGCTCTTCCGTCTCTTGCTGTGATAAACTTCATTAATATTTCTTCTAGAATCCTAGAATATCTGTCATAGAGTTTTGTGCGCCGTCCCGAATCCGCTCACTGCATTAAAAAGCACTAAACCACGAGAGGCCTTTTACTTAACGGAAATATGATAAAAAAGATGCAAATGTTCAGTAAATAATTACAATGTATTAATATTAGTAGAAATAGTTAAATATTTAGATATGTATTTATTATTTTTGTGTACTAGGACCACCTTGAAATAACTTATTATTATTATTTGTGACCCTGGAGCACAAAAGCAGTCTTAAGTCGCTGGGGTATATTTGTAGCAATAGCCAAAAATACATTGTATGGGTCAAAATTATCAATTTTTCTTTTATGCCAAAAATCATTAGGATATTAAGTAAAGATCATGTTCCATGAAGATATTTTGTAAATTTCCTACTGTAAATATATCAAAACGTATTTTTTGATTAGTAATATGCATTGCTAAGAACTTCTTTTGGACGACTTTAAAGATGATTTTATCAATATTTTGATTTTTTTGCACCCTCAGATTCCAGATTTTCAAATAGTTGTATCTCGACCAAATAATGTCCTATCCTAACAAACCATACATCAATGGAAAGCTTATTTATTCAGCTTTTAGATTTAATAAATTTAATAAAATTGACACTTATTACTTTTTTTTTTTGTGGTCCAGGGTCACATTTATTAAATATTTAAATATTTATTTATAATTTTTTGGACCCCCTTGAAAACGAGATGGTGCATCTCAAGGGGTTTTTCCTAAAGAATAAAATTTGTTACCATTTATTTAGTAATTAAAATTATGTGTTAATTACAAGAATCAAAATAAACCATTTTTCCATGAAGTAATTTAGTGTTTTTAGCCTTTTATTTTATTTTAATTAGACAAATATAGCATTCCACTGATGTGTTCACAGGTGTACATACTATATATTGGCTATTTCAAAGTAGATTTAAACGTGATTCATCTAATCATATTTAGAGCTGAAGTTTTCCGCTTTATAATACAAACCATTTACGTTTTCTGAAGAAAATGTCATTGGTGCTTGGCCCTCCTACATGACTCTTACACGATTTTTTTATTTTTATTATATTCTGGTGCCCCCAGGGCCCTCAGTATGCTGCCATGAGTCACACAAAAAAGCCAGACAGAGCCTTCAATATTCTGGTATCTAGATATGGCTTAGGTCTTTCATGGGATTTCTTCACCTGTTTTATCAGAGCTAGACCAAAATCACAAATCAGATCATTCAGAAAAGTAATAACGCGCCTCTCCTCGACAAGCCGCGTGATTTGAGATATCTTTCATGTATGTAGCCCAGATGGTGCTAATCCAAAGTTTAATACATGGATTTGTGGTTTGTTCAAATCCCTAACCATAAGCATGAGCAGTAACAATAATGATGCTTGCCTTGGCAAACGCCACTAAATATTCCGTCAGCATCAGTTTGCGTTACTAATCTCAGCCGAGCGGCTTGAAATGTCTTCCTTCACTCTGCATTTACGCTGCGCTTCATTAGAGTTTCATTGAGCAGGACGAATGCTTTGGAGCTTTGCTGCTTATTTGGCATTTAGAGAAATCCATTTGCAAACGTGACCTTCGGCTCTCGGTGTGTCAGGCCTGTGATTCTGCTCCCTGCCCCGCGGTGTGTCCCGCGTCCTTTAGTTTCCCCGTGTGAACGTGTGTGAGTGTGAGCCTGTGACATATTACTCGCTGACAGCTCTCTCATTCTTTTAATTGACTAGCTGGAGACGGCCGAGCGGGAGGACAGAGGAGGCGATGAAAGCACCAATCACGCCAGCGTAAGTGAGAGACGCCACTCTCCGTCTCTGACTCTCATCCACATCACACCTCATTCCACTTTAATGTGCCGTGGCTTTTTTTGGGGGGAAAAAAATAGAATGTTAGAACGTTAGAAGCACAAATCACACAAAAAAAGGTGATGTAGTGAGATGAATATGTTAGATATGTAATATTATGTATAAAATTAGCTTTCTATGAGTGTTAAACATATCAGATGTCTTTAGTTCTCTTTTAAAATTGTGAATTTGGCTTGTCACCATCAGTTTTTTTATTTTTATTTTTATTTTTTATTTTTTTACTTCTCAATATTATATACACTACTGTACACTATTTTGAAAAAAAGTCTGTTACGCTCACCAAGGCTGCATTTAAAATTCAAAATTCAAAAAATTCAAAAATGTAAATTCAAAATTAAAACTCTATCCATCTAAATCTATATCTATCTATCTATCTATATGTATATAACAATTTAAAATAACTGTTTTCTGTGTGAATATTTGTTAAAATGTCATTTATTTCTGTGATCAAAGCTGAATTTTCAGCATCATTACTCCAGTCTTCAGTGTCACATGAGCCTGACCAAATGAGCCTCAAATGAGTCACCTCGGATGCTTTTAATGAGGAACTTTAACATGTCATCCACAGCACAGCCGGAGTGTGTGTGCATGAGAGAGAAGCTGCCAAAATCAATGGCCAAAAACTCTGCCTAGGTAGACAGCTCGCTATATTTTGAGAAGCAGCCAGAAAGGAAGAAATAATTGACTCTGGACTGTTGAATTATTAAAAACGAATGCACACCCTGAGGTGGTACTGTGGCCACAAAGTGGAGAGGCGGTCACACGTCTGATTTTCAATCATTCAAAGATCCCGAGTCAATCACGTGTACATTAGTTTATGCCGAAAACATTTTTCAGGTTTTCAGAATGAGAAATTGATTGTCACGACATGAGAGGAAGATATAATCCAGATGCGGATGTGTGTAGTAAAGAACTCCCGGCATTCTCTGCATGTGTAATTGGCTTGGCACGGCATGCTTGCCAGGGTTTTATTTGTATTTTATTTGGCTTATTTGCCAGTCCAGTGACCAGAAAGATTGCTGACCGAGCTGTTGTCCAGCACATTGCTCTCTGATGAAGAAAGCAGCCTCAATAAGCTCTAGTGGAGTGCATGAGCCCTCCGTCAGCCTCTTTCCTTCCATCAGATCTGTTTGAGCTCATGCTGTGTTTGAGGAGGAGCTCCTGTCAGAACTAATGGGGGAAGATACCATGCACACATCCAGATATAACACAGTCGAAATGTGTGTTGTGCGGTCAGTCACTTTATATGTGCGTGCTAATGCCACAGTATAGTGAAGAGGTTAAGTTAAGCCTATAAAGCCTACTGTATCATATTTGATACAAACATCTCTAAGGGCTCGAAAGGATCAAAACTTTGATGAAAAACCTGTTGCGCAAAATCTGCTACATGATTGTCTTCTTATTGATAGTTTTACTTTTTTAGCAAGTAAAAGTCCTTTTAGTATAATTGTAAAAATGTCCACCTTCAGGTCATGAAACTGAAACATGAACCTTTTTTGCTGTGTAATCTTTAATGATTTCTATTAAGTGAACATAAGAATAACTATATTGTAATATTTCAACTTACTGGACTGAAACTTCTGATGTTTAATTGATTATGCATGCATAATTTAAAAAAAGAAAATCTAATTCAAATGTGAGTATCAGATATGCTCATCAGGCTTTTGGGGAACGTTTATTTGCTCATCTCTCATCATCATTGTGTTGCATTGCATTATATGTTTTGCCCCCCATAATGAAAACGACAGAGATTTGATCATAAAACTGAGCATTCAAATATCATTTTACTAAGACATTATTGGGAGATAAAGAGTGACAACTGATATTTATATGCATTTTGCAAGTAGTGTGTTATTCTGTTATAAAGATCTCATTGATTTACATTACAGACTATTGTTGTTTCCTCTTATTTTTGGCCATAAAAATATCAGCAGCTGCACCAAATTGTATATTTTGCTCAGTTATGGCCTCTGAATAAAATGTAGGTATTTTGTTTTTCCTTATGAGCTCCATATTCTCACTAGCCATAAAAGCCTGATGTATCAAATATTATACTCAAAAAAAAAAAAGTTTTCTTAAAACTATTTTGTCTAAAGGTTCAATAAACACTTCTATTTTGAAAAAAAAAAAAATAATTAAAAATAATAATTCCCAGGTGTTTCTGGGTAATAGTAGGGGATTAGACTAGTCTTACAAGTTAGTCATATACATTTTTTTTTATATAAGACTTTTTTAAATATATATTTGAAGAGTTCATTTGCAAAAACCGATAACTCCATTTTAATTTTTTTATTTTTTCAGAAATCACTTTTTTTATTGCGCATTCCAAGTAATATCAATCAAACTGCAGTTGGGTTGTTTTGATTAAGTAATAGTAACTTAAACAAATACAGGTAATTTACAAAATGAAAGTTCATTGAAAGTATGTTTTTTTTTTACATATTAAAAGTTTGTTTTATAGCAAAAGCAGAGAAATATGCTTACATAAAAACGTAGACTAGCGTAAATTGAATCCAAAAAATAAGACCGATTACCCCTTGGTTAACTGCTAGTTGGTCAGACTAGTTCTTTAGGGTGTGTTCACACTTGTCATGTTTGGTTCGATTAAAACGAACTCTGGTGCGATTGCTCTGTTAGTGCGGTTCGTTTGAGTATGTGTGGACCGAGACAGCTAAAAGATGGTTCTCGGTCCGCTTCCAACCGAACTCTGGTGTGGTTCGAATGAAATATGAACGCAACACGGACCAAATACTTCTAAACGAACCAAAAA